CCCCCCCCCCCCGCCCCCCGCCCCTGTCTCCCAGTGGCCGGTCGTGCGTTCGGTTCATCGTCAGGGCATGGTGTCTTTCTCGTTCTGTCCCGTCGGGCCATGGTCCGCTCGTCTCCGGATACCGGGGTCACCAGCCCTGCGTTGTCAAGCCCTGTTATCCAAGCATCCGAGCCCAAAATGTTTTGTGCCCAGTCGTCGTATCGCTTCGATGAACGGCATTCGCCCGTCGTCCCGGCCTTGAGCCGATCCAGCAATGACTCCTCTTCTCGGCTGTCATTCTCTGTTCCCTCAGGTCTTGCCGAGTAACGAGGCTTTCCTCGGGCTTCATCTCTCATCCCAACTTTTCGGAAATCACTTTCTGAAAACGAAAAAACACGTGTCTGAGTTCTTCACAAGCAAACGGAAAGGAATAACACGAGCATCTTAAGACTGGTGGGATCAACAAAACGTCTACACCCGCTTGACCCAGAGAGTGTACAGTTCTTGGGTTTGAGCTACAGAAGCAGTTAAGAGCTTGCCTACAGCCCACAATTGCGACCGGTGGCAGGAATCGACGGGCAAATGCGGAGGATATGGCAGCCAGAATGTGCCGGGAAGGCCTCGGTCTTCAAAGAGCTTTGGGCGACTTAGTATTGCGCCGGAAGGCACCAGGACACTTCAGGATTAAGGCCAGACGGTCCTACGGTTGCTCTTAATTCTACATCTGCATTGCACCCCCCCTTCTGAATGAAAACGAATGGATCGACCGTTTACCCCCGAGCCCGGCAGTAAAGAAACAGAACACGAGACCGAGGGACATCCCTTCGTGGGATCCTCGGCCAAGGCCTCGGCCAAGCCTCAATGTGGAAGCGGCATTAACTAAGTTGTCCTTTAAGCCCTTNNTTATGGTTCTCTACAAAATAGTAAGGGAATTTAAAAATGATCCCAAAAGACAACCCAGTTAAGGGTTTCGAGCACTTGGCTCCCAGGCTTTGGGGCATAAGCTTTCTATTGGCATCGGGCCCGTAGACCAAAACTAAAAACATACTTCTGTTGACAATTTCTTTGGGTTTAGGCTCAGAATCGCATGACACTGGCATGAGTCTGGAATAATATATAACATCACAACTAACAGCCGTAGACCGTCCTAAGTCTTCCTAATTCTGGAGTAGTATATAACCAGCATAAACATGAACCCCCAATCCGAAACTCCAAACCCTAATTACCCTAATTCCTAAGCAGCTGGGAAGAAGTTTTGGCTTCTTGAAATCCTGGAGGTCAGAGCTCCCGGTGGTAGGCGCTTCGAACTAACATAATTCTTTTCGCGTGGTTAAGAACTTATGATTATCATTACTACTACTGTTACTATTTGTTACCAATATTAATTAGTACTATTATCGTTCTTGTTCTTGCTCTTATTCTCATTCTTCTGTAGTTACTATTTCCTTACTGATCTTGATATTGTCCATGTTATTTGTCTTGGTCTTTTAATAAATATGACTATGGTTATTACTGTGCGTATGTGTTTTCTCAACCTTACTCTTGTTCTTGTTCTTCTTAGAAAATACCGCTGAGCGAACGACTTATGACTATGATTGATTTTTGCTGAAGGGAACTTTATGGTTATGACCACTACTGTTATTGTAGAGTAGGTGTCTGTTGGTTTGTTTGTTTGTTCGTTGTTGTCGCTGTTGTTGTTGTTGTTGTTGCTGCTGTTGCTGCTGTTGCTGCTGCAGTCGGTGGTGTTGCTGTTGTAGCTGTTGATGTTGTTGCTGCTGTTGTTGTTGTTGTTGCTGTTGTTGCTGATCTTGTTGTTATTGTTCTTCTTCTTGTTGTTGTTGTTGTCG